AGAGGTCGTATTATATTTATCGAGACCATTCTTTTTACTAGAATAATATATCTCCGTTTCCGTTACTATTCTATACTAATAAAAAAACTTATTTTTCTCTTTACATCTGAACGAGTTCGATTTTAAATCCTTACTTATAGTATAATACTTATAGTATACGAGTAGATGTGAAAGTGAGTTTATTTGTTTGTTACGCCACCTAAACCACTAAACCGACTTAAAATATTCTTTCACAAATGTAGAGCATCAGCACATGGCTACTTTTTATATTGCTTTTGACGTGACAACGTCTTATAATTCGATGGAGCCGACTGCACGCACGAAAAAACATGACTCATGCGGCGTTACCTCGCTCTGAGGCGTTCCATTTAAGGCTTGAAGTGCAAGCGAGAGCGCGGCACGAGCGACAAAGAGGCACAATCGGCCTCAGCGTTCGGCAGCGTTTGACATCTGACTCTCTCCTACTTGAGTGAGCGATGCGTCCGCGTGGACAGCTGCTATACAATAATACATTTACATGTTTTCGTAAAATGCAACCATTCCATCAGTATTTGCTTATGACGTTGTCACGTTCAACTATTGTCAGTAAAACGACTTTACAGACAACCGATTTTTTTTTACTTATTACCGTGACAACCAACATATATGTGGGCGGACCAACATATAATATTAGCTCCTCTCCACCATTATAGTTGTAATAAAATGTTTTATTCCCAAATCCCCTTTAGAATAAGTTGCTCCGGTGTTTTTCCCCAAGTTTAATTGGGATCAAATTTAATTGGGTATACCCTCTCAAATAAAAAACGAATATTCCAAATTCATAGCTAAACGAAGTTCTGAGGTAAGTAAGATACATAAAAAATTATGCCAAATTAAGTATCTTTTCCTTTTTTGAATTCAGTTAAAAATATTTTTGTTTCATATCCCAATGTTACAGATTATCTATTTTAAGGCCGAAGAAAGGCTAAAGGCTTTTAAAACAACAACCTTCATCAGGAGCAGAGAATCAAATAACGCGTATGGAACTACGAGTATGAAAAACGTTGCGTGGGGCTTATATTTGATACGAGTACTAGCTTTGCAGTCCTGCGTAGTTTGCTCCGTCAGTGGGCTCGACGACACCCACGGAATGAACAGGGGTGGTGACACTCCATGTCCTTAACCCCACGGCTAGACATTATTATTTTATAATTTAATGATTTGATACATCTCACACAAGGCCGTCTGATTCTAAACTAGTCAGAACCTGTATTATGGTAACGAGACTTGTAATAAACATACCCATATCACAAAATATCGAGCTCATCACATAATTATTATTTGTCCTGGGTTGGTACCGAAAGCTTAGCAGTCAACTTCGTTTATCACTTTACTAACTAAAGAGCCAGTAATGTAATTTGTTGAGACAATATGCTAATATATTTTATTTTTATATGTAATGTATTACGTAGATTTTAGTGTTGTATTCTCCTCCCTAAACCTATAGGCGCTGTCAAAGTCGCATGTGTTGCCCCCATCTATCACAACGATGGATCCGGCACCCGCACGGTGAATCCATGGAACGCTAAGAAATAGGTCTATGCACGAAATAACGCATGTAGAAAAAGGTCCAACAATAATATTGACTATGCCTGTGTTGCGAGGTGATTTAATATTTTTTTCACCAATTTAAAACCTCAGTATCTAGGATATGTTCAATAACCATATAGTTTTTAGTTTATACGTGTGATTTGCAAGTACAGGTAACATTGACCTTTACTTTAATTTACTGTTTCATTTTAAAGCATTAATAAATAAATATTTGCAATATAACGGATGTAGGTATTCAATTTATGCGTATTTGTAATCGGTAAGGCCATTTAAAATAAAGTACTTACCTTTTTTTGTAACATTCGTTTCAATTGGCAGAGAAAGTTTCTTTTTCTATATTACTTTGTTGAGAAAAAGAATGTTTAAGTTTTTATAAATGAACTGTAATGGAATTCAATTTGTTTAAATATTCAAGATGTTTGGGTCTGCCGTGAAAAACTCAGATACTTGGTTCTTGAAAACTTTATAAAAATATCCATCTCTCTAAATCTTGACATGTCACATAGCATGCTGTTTAAAATGGAGAATGCTAATGAGGACATCAATAAGACTACATGTGGCAGAAGGGTGCGCTTTCCAAACTTCTATCGCCCGTAGTCACGGCCCGCGTGGGGGAGTACTGTGGTGACATACAGACAGTTGATTTGCGCATTACATCGCGCAGGCGCTTGCAAGCTCCGACTGTTGCTATGAGATGTTTAAAAAGAAAAGACGAAAATTTTGACGACTAGCTTTTATGTTCTCTTTGCAGTGCTGTTATATGTTATAACGGCGGACCACGCCACGGGCCGAAGCTAGTCTAAAAAAAGTAGCCTAAGTTACTCCTTATGTCATCAGCTATCTGCCAGTGAAAGTCTCGTCGAAATCGGTCCAGCCGTTAAAGAGATTACCCGGAACAAACAGACAGACAGACAGACGGACAGATAAAAATGGTAAAAAATGTTATTTTGGCATATGTACCGTGTAAACATACATATGCATTTAGTAAAAAGCGGTTATTTTAATATTACAAACAGACACTCCAATTTTATTTATTTGTATAGATTAAATAACCTTTAAACGACGCATTATTCTTATTTTTTTATTGCACAACAAATTAAAACTATTTCTTAAGAAGTTATGTAAAAAGATGATTAGAATCCGCTTACCTGTTCCAGAGATGCAGCAAACCCACAAACGTTACTCCATCAGGTTCCCGAATAATATCGCAGCCTCGTCTAGACGACTAATATTTATTTCATTATTCCAATTAAAAAAGAAAATGTCTCGTCTGCGGTTTGTTACCTCAGAAGAAAATGATTTTGTGAAATAACTAAAAAACCTTAGTTTACTATTAGTACCTGGATAGCTTTGCTCGGTATTTTTTTTGGTAAATTTTCTAAAAATGAAACCTAGCTAGATCGATTAATCGCCACCGAAGTCCCTGATTACTAAATTTGAAAATCGTTGGAGCCGTTTTCGAGATTCAGATTATATATTTACAAAAATTTCTCGTTTAAACTATAAAGACTATACAACAAATTTGCAACAAATGCAGTGCAACAAATTTTAAAATGTGCATAACAATTACAGAAGCTGGGCAACGAATTATCTAAAACATTTAAATGACAATTTTCGACATTATTTTGCTGGGGTAACGCACACGTTTACTAATTACTTACCTAACAGGAACTGTTATTGATATAATTATTTGTTTTCTGTCTAACGAGCACAGTTATCAGCCAGTACGTATGTGTCTGTCTGTTGTTTAGTCAGATAAGTCACTTTGTAGTTAATTTTTGTTTTTTGCTTTATACATTATGCATATGCATAGATATTTTAGGTGTCACATACTCATTGGAGTGTGCGTAGGTTTCTTATACTAAAGGATGTCAATTAAAAGTGTGTATTTTTTCTAAATTATTTTATTCCCTCTATCTCTTTCTTTTTTTGATAATCCTTATTTTATACCTTAGTGCTATTTACAGTTTGTATAAATTAAAGTAGTAATAGTTTATTTTACATAGTAGGCTACTATTGTACAACGCTTCCATTGATTATGAAAGACTTGACTACTTCAACTGTACGATTCACAAAAATCCCGAACGAAAAATAAAACAAAAATGATTAATGATGAATAAAAAAACTGATTGATGAAACTCAACAAATTTAGATATGGTAACACTACAGATTGATTTGAAAACAAATGAGTTACAACTAAAAATCGATCTCAAGATTTCGATCAAAATAAAAACTCAACACCATGTACCAAATGGAAAAATGATTTAGTTTTAGGAAGAAAGTGCCGCCATCACACCGTCAATTAAAACAACAATAAATAGCGTTAAATTAAATAAATGGCACAAACCAAATTCTACGAACCCTTTTCGGTACAAGGTGGTGCGTATGTATATATCTTATTTTCCAAACATAATTTCGGTTGAATATAATAACAAAATAATATTTTCGTATGTTGATTAGCCGTTAAATGACGATTTATAACCAAAATATAATAATCACAATAATTCTACGATGGAAGCAACTGAACGTTGTGAACGAAAGAAATATCACTTCTGCGTAACAACATAATGGCAATCAAGTAATCGCTAAATAACATCGGTGGAGATCACAATTACACGACATAACATTATATAAATACAAAATATACATAGGTTCATTTACCTAACGCTTATAGTAACAACTTCAATGCAATATACCATCTATATTGATGTGAAATTGATATGATTATATTAGGCTTATGAGGAATTAACGTAATAGTTAACAGAATGTTTCATAAATAAACTCATTCCAGACTTAAGTCGGACGGGGTCGGACGACGACGCGTCGAGGCTAGGTCCGGAGCGGTCACATTCACAACTAGATGGATCGCTTATCAATTGCATAGTTAGATCACATGAACGCGATATCAGTCTCACTTATTCTGTCATTATGAACGTTACGACTATACCACAGCTCGTAAAAGCCTGAACGAAATAATGCCAATAAAAGTCGCATAAGCCTCCAGTAACAGTACGTTTGTTTGACGCTGGTATAATTATGCGATTCTCATTGTTGTTAAGTTTCGGCTTCTACTTTTATAAATTAGTTCGCGTATCCGGGATGGGCCAGCCGCCCCGGCCGCTTGATCCACTTTGGATCCTAATCACTAAATTAAAATCTCGACAGAGACATATATTTGGCTTGGGTACTTCTTACTGAAAATTGGACAATCGATGAACAGGTAGGACTATTTCAGTGAGCGCAACCGCAAGCCTGAAGGCCGGAATAACTTAGGGTAAATTCATAAATAAATTTAAAATAACGGGCGTGTGGTGCGCGCGCTCGATCTTTTGCCGGAGCGATGCGATAATGGAGAATTTTCAGCCCGATGCCAGCACCGGGCGGCCAGGCTCAGACGAGCCGAGGAAAAGCTAGACGCAATCTTCGTCCATGTCAATGTCAGGGACCAGACGATCGTGGGAAGCTGCAGCCCGAGGAGGGAGTTCGTTCCGCGGGTCACGCGCCAGCCACGGGTGCCTCAGCACGTCCCGCGCGCTAAGTCGCTCACACGCTTCTCGCCGCAGTAGCGATCGTATCAAGCATTTTCCTCTCGATGACAGGCACTCGGGCACTACGAAGTACCCACGTGATATCTTCGCGAACAGTGATGCATGCTCTGAATCATTGAATGGATACCTAAAACAAAAGAAAAATATTGTTAAAACCACTGATTTTAATAAAGAAAGACTTTATTTTTTATTATGATTTTTAAAGTAATTAAGCTACCTATAAGAAACAACGAATGAATGAAAAAAGGTGCGCAGAAAGTTTATGCCTTGTTTAAAAAAGATAAGAGAGGGTCATTAAAATCGACTGAGAGTCGAGGACTAAATTGTTCGGTCCTAATTAATAGCGATCCGATTGTCATTTAGAAAGGGCAGCTGCGCGCCAAAACAAAAACCCAGGTAAATGGAACCCTTCCGGCGACAGGTGATGGCGGCGATTGCGGCCAAATCCCGAATTTCGTATTATAAATGATGGGTGCAAGTCGAAAAAAAGTAGAAAACAAAGGTTCTTGCGAACGGCAGGTGCGTCGAAGGTGGGGGAGCAACGTCTTCGCCACATGACCGCGGCAGGTGCGGCGAAGATTTCACGAGCCTCATTTATATGTGGGTGATATAATTGTTAGCCGTTGGCGCGTAACGGCCGACAGGTGATCATCCCTACGTATGCGTCGCCAACGGTCGTAGTGACCCCTTTGTGATCTCTAAAAACGGTAAGTCCCACGCTTCGCAGTCGCAGGTGAAGACGCCCGCGCCGTCCCCTAGCATTAATTACGTGCAATTAATTCCTGCTACCAAAATTTTGTTTTGGGACAGACGTTTGGATATAATTTAAGTAGCTTCTTTAATAAGTTTTGCTAGAGTTACGCACCTTCCAACAAGCATGGTGTACAATATTACTCCGAGTGACCACATATCTGCCGCTCTGCCCGAGTACGTCCGATGCGCTCTCAGGATTTCCGGTGACACGTATGCGGGACAACCTCGCTTATCCTGAAGTAAGTCTTCTTCAGGATCATCAAGTACAACTGCGTCTTCTAACGACTCGAGTTTTAACGTCGTTCTGTAACAAATGAAAAAAAAATATTAAAAATTATGCTGATGTACATGCATATATTTACCTATTATGTTACAGATAAAACATCTCGCATCGCAATTGAGAGCTCATTTAGTCGGCCACGTTGTCAGGTCTCGTGTGTTTGTCCAGCGACCAATATAATTCGCTTTCGTTTGCCTATAATATGCAAGCTCGACACGCACTCGTCCGAAATGGATCCCTTTGAGCACAAAGCTTTGTCGGTGCACTGTTGACTTTATCGAGCGCTCTGCTAATTATTATTAAAGCGGCATATATTAAATGTGCGTTGCAATATTACTCAGGGTTCGGTGACCCTGTATCAGTGCATATGCAACTGTAATGTCATGTTAATTATTACATAGCGAACCATAAAGCTGTTCGGTGATGCAATAGGTTTTGTTTCATCACATCGCGGGCTTTAGGCGCACCGTTCGCGACCTCGTATTTCACAGAGCGGCCGCATCGTTTCGAAATGCATTATTAAATGCACAGTTGGAAACATTACACCGGCTGCGTCATGTATGATTGAATGTAAACTAACTCCGATCGGGCGACAAACCATTTCGATCTGCGGCTTCATGGGAATCATCTATACTTCTTATTGAGAGCGTTTTATGGAAAAACATAGAATATGTACCGAATATAACAATGCTAGGCCCTAACTAATTCAAACAAAAGCTGCTTTCTATAAAGTAACCAGCATTACGAGGTAAAGCTAAGACAGGCAGGACAGGTGTCGACGGTTCGATGGCAGCAAAATCAACATGTTTTAATGCACACATACATATATGATATTTTTAGCCGGTTTAGTAATATACGAGGGATCGGTGAGGTTAACCGATTCGAAGACGGGCTCCTGTTCTATTTTTACCTACGTCGCAAACCTTTTGAGTGTCGTGAGATTCAACATTTCGACACTGCCGGTGAAGAAACGTGTAAGTTTCATTTGGCTATGCGTATTCCGAAAGCTGAAGGTAATAAATATCAAGTTTGCTCAGAGCGCTCTTACAAAATCTGTAAGTTGCGGTCTCAGCTGTTTGACAAATAGTCTGTAGACGTACGCAAGACTTGACTCCAAGAGATCTTACTCGCAACTAGCACCGCGGATATTAGACCGTAGCGAGATATTAATAACGAGTTGCGATACTTGTTGATGCCAGATAAACGATGGCTATTTATTATGAACACATTTTAAGAAGTGATCGTGTCGTGACAATATGGAGCGGTTGGCTCCCGCTAAAGGTTACTCTTGCTAAGACTGTCGCAAGAGCGGCCCGGTTATTGAATTAAATGTTACATTGAGAGAAGCGAATCAGATTTTCATCAAAGATCAAAACATCAGTATTGGAATAGGCAAGGATGCGAGGGGCGCTTGAATAGTGCGTGATGAATGAAGCACGTGCGGTAGGTCTTAGGCGTTTATTCGTTGTGTAGCAACAATTTTGCTGTGGGAACTAGTTGACGAAACATGTGACGTCATCCTATAACTGCGGTCTCCGGACCTTTTTTTGTAATCCATCAGTAAGCAGAGCCGAGTCTGGAGGGCGTCCTCGTATCCGTTTAGGTCTCGCAACTGCGCAACTGATCCTAATTAAATCCCTACAACGGCAAGGCTAAAGTGCGATGTCTGCAGTTGCAATCGATTCGAATTTCGCAACGTGTAAATAAGTTATACGGTGTCGTAACGCGGTCGGAAGGTTGGCCGGATTTCCGAGCGTGTTCCGAGCGGTGGCCTCCAAGGATTCTGGCGGTGTCTCGGACGCCAACCGTTTATACACTGCAGGCGAAAGGACAACCGTTGATTTTACGCAACTTAATTCTACGCAAAGCCTACGGGATAGTGACAACAGTATTGCACTGTCAGCCTCACACCCTTATATCTATATAACGCAGTCGTGAATCGTGACGTACTTATATCCAAAACTTAAGACTTACTAAATGGGTTTACAACTTCGCAACTATGTAACGAAATATTTCGTTGTAAATTATGCATTTGTAAGTAGGTAACGTTCTCCTTAACATTTTCTTGGTCAAGTTTGAAGAAAGGACTCAGTATCGATAATAATCTCGTGTAGTGAATAACGACAATAACACTTGCATTCAAAATTGATTGTAAAAGAAAAGTGTAGTATAATATTAGGATTGATCGTAATGTTAACATATTAATCGACGTCGAGTTTGTAAGTAGAGCGCTGCACGGTAGTGTGGGACATAGCCAACATTTAGCGAATTACCGGGATGCGCCGGTACGTGTTTCGCAACTGCCGCAATTGCTCAACTCAACCCTGACAGTTTTGAAACGAACAATGGCAGTGATCGAGCCGCAGATGCACCACACATGCATACACTTCCTGCTCGACTTTATATCGCCGGCCGCTGTATGACGAATACTTGCGCAACCGAGGAAACGCTTCACACGCCAGTCGCCACTGTACACAAAACGGAGAAGATATGTAACTTACGCTTATTGCGAAAGGCAATGTTTTAATAGCCGCGTAGACAATGTATAATTCAATGTTGACGCTCGATATAAGCTGTTTCCGAACCCTACGCTGCGCTGGCGCAGTGGTTAGTCACAGGTTTTCGTAACCCGCATTGTAGGGGACATGTGATGTCGTAAGTGACGCCAGTTGCCACACCGCGGAGATGCCGTCGGGATAGGTTGGGAAACCATCCCGACCATGCCCAATTATATGTCGGCTGCGATTGCGACACTACGGATGTTTCATTAAACCCGATTGATAACAGTTTTGGAATCATATTATGTTTGAGCTTTATGTTTTATCTCATTTGGCGTTGGAGTCACTCAAGTATTTTTCTCAAGTTTATTATTAACACGAGTGTCTATTATCGTAACTATGTACATAACTTCTAGCATTTAGGTCTTAGAACCACGTTGGCAGCGGCACCATTCGCTTTATCGGAACTCCGATAACGCAAGTCGAACTCAGTTTTGAAACCGAGTGCTGGGCCGCTTGCGAAAACACTAATGTGAACATCGATTGCAAAATTGTTTTAGTTTTAAAATCGAATGCAGTGACAATGGTTGTTAAATACCTAGCTGAACGTTGTTCGTTCGATGTCAGAGCCCCGAAGGCGAGATGTCACATCGCTGACATTTCATCGACACGCAGAGTGGATCGAGCGGCTGCTCGATGAAGTAAGGAGATCGAGTAGCTCGGTTGCGTTGCGGCCGTATTTGGCAGGCGGGCAGCGTCTGCGCCCGGGCCGCGTGTCACAATGGCGTGGATTATGAGCCGCGTTGCGATATGGCATGTTGCAAGTTTGGGCGGCGGTCCAAGCGCCTCTGCCGAAATAATCCCGTGTTGCAACGCATGGACTGCGGAACGGGCGCCTCTCCAGAGCCCATTGCGCAAACGCACTGCCGTACACAATTGGCCAATTGCACACCACGCACAGAGCTCTTAGCGATGTGACGCTTACTAAGACTACGTTTCGACGACGAAACGGTAGCGTTCGATGACCTTTGCGCCTTCATTACGTGACGATTGTGTAACGGAAGAAAGCGGATGAAATTGCGTATGCTAAAAGTATCTGAAATCTCGTCGAATCCGTCTCGAATCGTTGCAATTACACCGTTACGAGGCGTCGTGTTAAATCCGGTGAGCGGTCGACTTTCTAACGCGGGGTCGGTGTACGCGCGCCGTGTCGCAACAATTTCTCCGAGCGGGCCTCGCGAACGAAGAAAGCGCGACCTCAACGGCGTTTTGCAATCGCCCGCACCGCCACTGACGGCAACGGAGAAAGACGTTACCGCAACTTAGAAAGCGTACATCGACCCGTCGAGTGCCACAACCATAGTAAACTGCACAACATTTCTTGCAACACATTCGTTAACAAGATTCCTGCAAATTCTTACGACCGCAGAACTACGAGCCTCTTCGTATAACAGATAATGGTAGAGTTGCACTTGTGGCTCGATTGGGCAAGTGGGCCCACTGTTACGCAATTCATGATAAAGCGCGCCGCATGTCACACTCGTGAAACACTTCCGTTCATTGACTCTTTCCAGATATAGTAGTGTGGTCTTCGTTTCGTTTCGAAATAGTATTTGCTAATCAATGTAGCACAAAAGGGAGGAAGTGTTGTTAAAAAAAATTATTGAATAACAAAAGCACCTTCATCAACATGAAACTTGGCGTCACAGTCTTATCAAATGCAACAAGAAATATAGTTTACAAGTGTGTCATGTAGGATATTTCACGCAAAATCATCAAATAACCGGCTCACTAGAACGTTTGCGTATTCACTTTCATAACTTGTTGTTACGTTTAAACCGACTTTTCCAAGTGTTGGGAAATGCGCTAGCTAAAAGCTGGTGCTCCCACATTGCGGACGAGTAATCATCGTCATTACAGCATTATTACGTATACAAAGAAAAAATAAGATTATCGTGCGACAGGCTGTGATTAGTTACGATGATAACTTTCACGCTAACGACGCACGTAACAGCACAAAAAGTAATATCTACTAGCGGTTTACAATCAAACGGAGCTCTCTGCAATCACGTGTGGCACCTGTCGCCAGGTGCGCGTGCCCGGCGCGTCACTGCGGAGGCTGTATAACGACGATAACCATAAAGGGCAGCTGTTCGATATATTATTGTGGCTGACAGATGCGGTCTAGATCGCTCGATAAATAAAAAGAGCAAATCCACATCCGTATACGGCCATGCAGTTTCCGCCGTGGCACACGCAGCCGGAATCCACAATTGTTTCACTCTGCAATCGTTTCCTCCTTATTATTGTGAGTCGAACGTGCGAAAGGTGCGAGATGAATGCTCACCCGCACAAAACTCTTTCATGTAAGAGCAGTTGGTACATTCTGAGGGTTGGCAATACAGGCACTAGAAATTAGAACGATGAATACTAATGAAAGCCATGCCACCTGGTTAGCCGACGCAAGAGCTTGCGATATGTAGCGAATGGAGTGGACGATTGCGAGGTAAAACCAGCCGCATTACTGAAACAGTTTGTTAACTATTGGATCTGGTGAGTGTCGCAAATGTATGGAAAAGTTAAGCGAGACAATGCTCTGTCGATTACACGGTTGATTTATATGCGTTAGGCGATCTATCCTTAACCTTTAGTAATCTCATGTTTTGTAATACAGAACCGTTTAGAGGAGTATAACGTTTCGTATAGTTATCGTAATGTATTAAACTGCTGGGTCTTTACACTCCATTTCATAACCTGGTTTACACAACAGTCGAAACAAGCTTGTATTTGTCTTTCTTACTTGCAAGACCATAATTTACTTGTTTAAAGCAAGCTTTTACTGAACTCAGTATTTAGAGTAATATAGGTATATAAGAAATACTATTTTTGTTTTAATTGGATTTGTTTAGACTCTAAAATTGGTCAGAAAGCGATATAACAAAGTTTAAGAACCAATAAACTGTTGTAACATTTAATATAATGACAATAAACATAATGTAATCGTATGTAAGCACAAAGGCAAGAATGAATGACACAGGATGATTTCGAAAACACAAAATAAGCAATGTTGCGATTTCGCCTTGTGAAATACATTTACTTCGTGATTGCAGAAACGCGTGGGACGACAAATAGGCTTACTCGTAATCTTTGTTGATTCCTTACTATTACGACGCAAAAATATCTGTTTACTATACAGCATAATACTGAGTTACAGACAGTCAAAACGATTAAGGAAAAAGTGTCAGAAAAATCAACAATATTCACGATCAGTCAAATAGTCATCTTCGTTACCCAATATAAAGTGTTAAGTCTACACGAAGTCCGTTATCGCAATTTCTATCAGCATTTCACTCGTATCTTATCAGAAAAAAAGTAAAAAAAAAAATACCACTTGTTTATTTACTTCGTTTGCAACGTGAGTGATAAGCAAATATTTTGTAATATATTGACCGAAAGTGTTTGTTGTGTTACACAATTTAGTCTAATTTATTTATTGGTTGGTCGTTGCGAAAATGTGTTCATATGGCATGCACTTATTGTGATTCTATTGGTATGGAAATTAGTTGCGTCGTACGACAACGCTAGTCGTGGCACGAACATAACATAACATTATATGTAACGTATGTAACAATTATATATTCTCTCAAGCTTCGTAGGAAGAGTGTAAAAACACGATCATTTCACGTAAAAAGTGTTAACAAACACAATTATAGCTATAGTACCTACCGCTAAACCTCTCAACATGGGCACTTCTACATCTCGCGATCATTATCTGAACTCTATCGAACAGGAACAATGGCTTCAATTTAACAGGGGTCCGTACGACCCCAATGTCGTCGCGAATACTGTCGGCTCGCATCGATAAGACACGCAAAAGCATTTGCCATGTTCCCCATCTGATGTAATGTGTACGCCAAACAGTATCAAGGAAGTGCTGCATACGGTTTACATTACCGCCTGAGCCTTGGTATACACATGTTTGCTGTGTGTGCATATTGCAATGAATAGTTTATTATTAACTTGCTCGACATAAATCTAGGTAACAAAGGTTGCGCTCGTGCTTAGAGGTTCTAAATGCTTTGACACAGCAACAAAAGAGCGGTAAAACGTGTTCGCCGTAAACAATACGAGGAAATACGAAATATTTATTATATCAATTGCACACAAGCTGCAGGAACATTGTTTTGGTCAAAAGTTTGTATACATAAGATAAATACTTAATATTGGGGATATTCGTGAGTGGCGAACTCGTTTCTACCGTTAAGCCTCGCTGAAAACGATGCGTAAACATCTCTAACGAGGACCAGTCCACAACTGGTTTCGTTTTATTGATTAAAGAGAAAAAGGTGCGAACTCGAGAGTCCAAAATTTATTCGAGCCAACATCGAATAACAACAAACACGATGTTGACTAGTCTAAAGAATAAAATTACGCAGGGCAATACTTAGAAGAATTTCAAATACCGTACGATTGTGTGAATTGAGAACGTGGTTCGAATACGTTTTAATGATCGTGGTTGATAAATAATCAGATATCATTGCATTAGCAAACAATAACTTTTTTTTTAAGTCATTGAAAGATGTTTTGACACATGATAATGTTGGTGTCGCGGCCTATCGATGGTATCTCATATTTACAGCTACGGTACTTAGGTATGTGGCACACCAAACAGCGGTACTTTCTGATTATACCACTGGCCTGACCGAAATGGGCCAACGAAAGTATCGATGTCGTGGTAAATAATAACCGGTGTGTCTACCATTTGACAGAACGATATATACATTAATATTTCTAAGTGTTGATGAATTTTCTTGCTAAGCATAAAAAAAAACAGAGTTACCTAAACAAAAAAATTGTGTTAACAACTACGCATTTTTTCGCATATCTTGAAAGCACTATTTGTCCGTGGGTATAAGCACATCGTGCGATGAGATCATAAAGGATCAACGCTCCCTCGAATGCCGAAGCAATGATCAACAACGTTAAATTAAGATGGCCGGTCTATTCGGCCGTTCACCCCGCTATTTCTTTTTTCTAGACGCAATGATGTAACATGGAAAGTGCAGAAATGATCATTTCTAAACATCAAAAGAATTACACAGCGGCTTGTTATATCACTATTCCGGGCATCTCGCTGTACTCGGATGCAATTCGAGGCGGACGAGGTCAGTGAACTTGCGAAATTTCACCTGTCATAACGGGGAATGAAACAAAAGCTGGTGCTGTAATTGAAGAAAGTGCGGAATAATTCCCATTATTAATGAATCGTGCGCATAAGCGGATGGAACGATTCGAATTTGTAATTAGAGAAATAGAAACATTCCAAATTCATAAAGAATTAGAGTGAGTGTCGCGTTGCACAAGAGTGTTTGTCGCTTGGCGCAGCGGAAGAGAGGGTGGCGAAACAGCACACTTCGATGATGCAATTAAGAAAGTGCGGAACTGAAGTAGGTTTTCTAACGCGGTGAATGTACTCTGGCCATTAGCATTTTATCATTCGCGTCCGCAGGCTGCGCGGCTGAGGCTCGCCGGGCGACGACCTCCGGTGATGTCAGAGGAGGCGATGTGTTATTCGCGTTCGCCGAGTTCCTCCTTGTAACATGGTGTGTAATAAATACCTTTGAGATAGGAAAACTACGATGCGAAATCGCGTTGGCCCACAGCGAGCAGTTACACAGAACGTTACATCAAGCTCTTGTTGTATTGGAGACTGCAATAAGTTAAGTAACTAATGTTGTCACACTTGTTTGTTGCAATTAAACTGATGTAATGCATGCAAGAGGAGGGCACATGGCTTAGGTACAACATTTTTATGTACACGAAAACAAATTTTAAGAAACGTTAACATATTAATCTTAGCAAAGTCTACTTTTAAACGATGACGGCATAAACTGTAACAAAATATTTTAAGTTGTAAATAACCTACTTATTTTTAACACTGACATGAATAATTAGCAAAAAAATATGGTAAGAAGTGATATGTCAAGTTCAGCAGGCACGAGGCCGATGCGCGAGCGCAGTGGCGATGCTGATCAGTGGAGGGGGTGTCGAGCGGGTCGTAGAGCGGAGGGGGGTAACGGTGTGCGGCGGTGACAATGAATGGCAAAGCACCGTTGTACTTGACCTAGTATTCCGGCCGTCACGCCCGGCCGGTGCAGCGCTGACGTTCGATTGATGACATGCGTGAGACCCGACCACGGCACAACAAACGGCTTACATTTCTCACATTAAAACTATAATTAACCGGTATGTAGCACAGCGATAGTTTTATGATAACTCCGACATTGACGCACTGACCCACTTGGCACCGGCCGGCAGAAATTTTATTCTAAATCAAGGAAGATTTCCATCTATTTGGACTCTGCAATTCATTACGGTACCGATTCGACCACTGATCGATATGATGATGTCATCCGTTCAGAACGTGCATATTAGTTTAACAATGGAATCATTCCACTAACGATATTATTAAGCATTCCATCTGAACACGTTTGAGGCGCAGAACACAAACAAAGTTGATGTTGAAATGCATACAAAATATCTCGCAAGCGGTTTCCGATATACATTTGTTAGCCGCTAGATATGTAACCGTGTATATGTGCCATTGCGCAAGGTCGCCAGCGCACCTGCGTGCTCACCGGTCACTGCAGCGACAGTTGCAGCTCTCATGACATGTACTGCATTAACAATTTCCAGAAAAAGAAAAGGGTGAGAATTCAAGGAATTCCGTATTATCTGCACCTGCTAATTCCTTTTGAGAAGATTAATGGCTTGAGTCAGTAAGTGCATGAGGTAGCTCAATGAAAATGTATTTGAACACTCGCATGAGACAAAATCACCAAAAAGCGTTTACAGCGCTTTTGGCCGCGTCCGGCGAGCACTGCGCACTCGTAATCATCCAAGTGGGTTAAGGTTTCATCAAGGATTTATTGCGGCAAGTCTCCGCTCCAAAACACCGAGCGTTTGTTACTATGAGCTAACTGCACGCCGGTTCCGCTGCATTTGTCCATTACAACCTTTTATATTCAAATATTTTATTTTCGTTCTCAATTAAAGTCGCCGGTCGGTCTGTCCATGTCTGCGTGATGAACAAGGGCATTTTTTATAAAATACGTTATTTGAAATAAGTTCACATAGGCTATTTCATTCACCTGTCAACGGCAGTTACTAACAACAGCCAGACAAAAAGAGAGCCTAGACATCTTTTGTTTAATTAGTGTCGAACAAACATAGTAACTTGATCGTTAGGGGCGTCCCTTTGTGCAGCACATAGAGAGCGTAACTGTAGGAATAATGAAAACGTGCTTTGAGAGGCTTTTGAAACTTCTTGTGTAGTACAATTGAACGTAAAACAAACAGGTTAATAAGTTTCAAAACGATCCAGATGTATTACAAAATTTCAAAAGCGGTAGCATACAACTGTTTAGCAACTGCATGGTCGATTCTTTCGCAATTTACGTCGCAGCGTCCGGACCACTCGATTAATTGTCCCTATCCTACAATATCGAGTTTTCAACGCTTTTGTTTAATAAATACTACCATTGTTTTATTCTGAGGGCACTTTAAACAACAAATAATTGTAAAACACTTTTGAATTACTTGGGCATATTGTAAACTACAGTTTTATTTAGAGGTCCTTTCTTCCCATAAACAATGTTATGGAATTTTGCAGTTTTTGCGTAGGCAATTACACTTATGTTACGTACCCGCGACATATGAGAAGTCGATCTACGTTGTACCAAAGCAGGTAATATTTATAGTTAGTATAAACACGTTTGTAAGTAATTTAATTACAGAGTAAACGTAAGGCCTAAAATTTTGTAGGCCTAACCAACTGTTTATAAAGCTATCTACTGATTAATTACGTTTCATTATTGCACCTACATTTAGCTTTAATATTATTTCAGTAATCTTGATTGATGACAGAATTTTAGTGAGCACGGGCACAATGATTGAGTACAGATCGATGCGCAGGCGGCTCCAGCAGATGTGCACAAGCATTGTCCTGGGAACAAAGGCAGGTAGAAAACCTACACAATGTTTACGTGCCATGTGCTCGGTGTCACTTTTTCATATTGATATGTTTTACGTAAAAATTCGAAAAAAGTTTTTAATCTGACCGAACAGATGGCCGGGCACATGTCGATACAAAAAATTGGATTCGAGATTAAAACCACATCGAGTCTACAACACAACGAAATCGATCAATAGCAATTCACGTATTAGTCGTTTTACATACAACTACTTAATATTTAATTTCGATGCCAATTGTGCTCGATTTGTTTTGCTGCGTAACTTTATTAAATTAATTGCGATGGTTTCCCTTTGTTACAAAAGAGAGAAACGAATTGAATCCCAGTTATCAAAATTAATAACGGCAAAACCAATTTACTCTGATCGCGTAATATCCTGCCTGGCGCGTTTTAGCTTTGCAGTCTGCATTGAAATTGTTCTCCTAGAAAATGTTGAAAATCATTTTGTCCGTAACCCTCTGCTGTCGTTTGTTATGGACATCTAAAATAAAGGGTACCTATAAAAAGACTAATCATGGGGATATTGAATGGCTTAAGAAAGAATCGTTAGAAAACGGCAAATATTGACCTTGTGGCAGATGTCGAAATCCAAACTTGGTTTTATAAGTGCATTTGAATAAACATATCGCCTTTCCACGGTAACTAAACTCTGTTGACCTTCCGTTGTACCGTGTATCTGTTCGTATCTCTTAGTTTCTATAGATAGATAGAATTGTCATCAGGTGTGCATACAAGCTTTTCGGAACAATTGTTTATTTTAACTATTTTGGAGAAGCGACAGCAGTGGGATGTTCACACTATAATTAAATTAGTTTTGAAATAACTACCACAAGGCAGAATTCTCTCAGTTGTATTAGCTGAGTAGATTAAGATAAACCCGCGCCGAGTATATAACCATATGAGAATGGACGGCTATAAAGTGGGGAAATTGCAGGCTATTAAAACCTTATACAAGATGCCAGATTTGCGGAGCTGGCACTATTTTTCAAAGCAATAGCGACCTTGCCAACGATTGAATGAGGTTGCCTTTGAAATGACAGGTTAGAGAGTAAAGTAATTCATTATTGTCTGTGCGGAATGCGAATATCGAACACGTGCGTTGCAGGTAAAGAACTCGCATGTGCAACTCATTGTCTGATTCAAAAGGTGTTTTATTAAAGTTGAATAGGACGAATCTTTGCACAATGGTCGGTAGTTCTTTGTCATTCCATCATTGATTCAGCAAAGGTATAGAACGAATAAATCATGCGTAGGAGAGAATATAATGCTGTATTTGTTTACTAAAACATCTGTTCGTATTGCATCTGTGACAAGGGTATAGAATTGGCAAAGTCCAAAAAAGGTCGGTATTGTATCATCGTTCCAATGGTTGTAAGATTAACCCGATACGAGGTACAACAATACAATTTAGAAGACCTTGTTTTTTTTTCTGAAACTTTGAATGAACGTCAGTTAAACAGCATATTGCGGCACACCGCGACCTTACTCGTCCTTATCCGAGGTGATAACAGATTGTAGTGACCTTTAAAATGATTAGGTGTCTCGTAAGGCGATAACGTTGAAGTACAATGACCGTGTCACAATCCTAGTATTAAATATTTAAAAGTGAACTACTGTTACTCTGTCATACCGGTTCCCAAGGTACTTGAAACTTTTTCAAAAGAGGCATAAGCAGGAGTTTGATTCTTAAGGACTCTTGAGTACCGGATGTAACGGGACCGGAAACGGTCTTTAAATAAATGGAACTACACAGTTTATAGAACAGATGGTCAGCATTGTATCAAAGAAAAGAAAGAAATATTATTAAAAATAAATGCACATGACGAATGTATATTAAATTAATCTTAAGTCTGTATTGATCCTAGAGCATAAACAGGACAGCGAATAGAATATGAACTTTATTTATTAGTTTAATAATTTTTGAATATAATACATAAATACTTAATAGTATATAATACTTTAAATTATGTAAAAATATCGCTTCTCGTCAACATTTCTTGATTTATTAATATTAAATATATAAAATAATAACGCCGCCAAAATTTAAAATAGCTATTAAATTATATACTAAAATCATCTGTCATTAGTCAAATTAGTAACTCAAAGATTTGTCAATTTACAAATGCCACGAAACAGTATTCTCAATTCTAATAGATCAGTTATACATATTTATTCGTCCGTACAATCAATAATACAAAAGAACGTGATGTTTGCAACCGCAGAACTGCTTCATCTTCAAATTTATTCGCACTTTCCAACATATCACGTTGTAGATACGACAAATAGAGAATCTTTGACACGTGTAACAAATATACGCACGTAGATATATATAAATTAACATTAATATCGTTTTAGATACCGAAATAACACGATTTTTATTATGTCTCTTTGTATGAATCATAAAACGGTTATAATTTGAATTCAGAACGTCTGTTGTCTGGTACTTAGTTGGGCCGCACGGCCGAATGGAAGGCGGAAGAGTGGCGCTTGCGCAACTGACATTGAATCGAGGCGGTCTTCGATTGGAGGTCAGCCGGCATACGTATATGTAGTTTAATGATAATAATTTAATCACTATTTTATCTGTGAGCGTATAAAATCCAAATATTTTTCTTATTTGTCATATAGCAAATCACTGAGAGATGTGTAAGAGGAAAACCGCAAATCGTTTTAATAAACATTCCATTATAC